GAAAAAAAATGCATAAATAGTCCAAAACGTCACATTGCAACAGAGCCTTTACATGTTGGAGCCAGAGTCAGCCCAGAACCAGAGTCACAACATTTACCTGGGATTATTAAAAGAGAAGAGATATTTTATAGATGTAATCTGAGTCACCTGAATCCTCAGGTTTACCAAACTCAGGGGCTTGGTCACATGATGCGATGGAAAAACAACATTATTCAGTAACTTGTGATGCTTTCTATCAATCACTTTAAATCAGAGGTGTTGAACTCAATTAAAGGGAACTAAAATTAAAAGCAAGCCAGTTATCTGTCATTTATTGAAACAAAAGTTAACTAACTACTCTGATGAACTTTTCCAAACTATATTTTGTGTAGCGTTTAGAACACGCATAACCTAATGGATAATAACCAACAATGTATTAATTATTTTATAGAAGATACATTTTTTATCACAAACCAGCAAATCAGTTCACAAAAAGAGAACACTCACTTAAAATCTAATTATTTGTGAATTCAGAAAAAGATTAATCTTCAATGTTTTGTTGCTCTTTTCACACCAAAATCAAAGATCACTGAAAAAGTCAGACTTAATTTTCGTGACTTGAAACTGTCAACAGAAGAATGCTCTGAATCCGGAGTCCTGATGCATCTTGATAAAACAGGTAGAAATTTCTAATAAAGCTGAGTCGGGTCTTCTGGACGGGTTCTTCCTCGTTGAAACTTATCCAAGAGATATTTCCAGTGATAAAGAGAGAAACCATTAAACCTTTTCACATTTAGACAACCAGTTTAATTCAGAGGTGSGCTAAATGTTGGGTCCATATAAATCGTTAAAACCGGGGCCTGTATGKTCTGCGCTGTGGACCTTTGGTTTGATACATGGTTGTAGTTACTGACTGACCCAGATTAAAAGTGACCCATGAGGGCTGACCTGTCAGAATGCTTGTTTGTTGTCAACACGTCGAAGAAGATGAGAGGTGCTCATGTTTGAATTTCCTCTCCTCCCACACCTGTTCCTGTTTGTCTGACAGGTGTTTTTAGTAGGGCTGTGAAATTAATCAAGTTAACTCTGATTAGTTTGAGTGCAGCGTGGACATAGTTTAAAATGTTTAATAGTGATTAATCGCAATTAAAATTTACAATCACTTTACTATGGCTGAATATAGGTTTGTATACAGTATTATTATGCACTCAGTGCCAGGTCATGTTTGTAAATGAGAAGTGATTCTCAAACAGTTTACATGGAAAAATAAAGGTTAAATAAATAAAACAAATAAAAAACTCCATGTGTAACACATTATGTATGGTTTTTTTCCTTTTGTCTTCTTATGGCTTATTTTATTTTATTTATTTATGTTTTGCTGACAAATGCGACTTTAGTATCCATCTTTCATTCCTCATATCATTTGGATTGAAAATCCTTGAATTCTTGATTTAACCTCATTATTCTGCACAAAACTTAACCGACTCAAATATGTTTGGAGTATTTTTTATGTCCTGTTTTATATTCAAAAAATCATGTCTAATCATTAATTTTGTTTTCTAAATAAAAACATTAAAAACTAATTAATAACTCAAGTAATTTATTTTATCAATATGYAATAGAAATGTGTATTAAATTTAAGATTAATCATGATTAATTCACAGCTACTTTGGGATTAATCAGATTAAAAATATGAATCATTTGACAGCCGTAGTTTTTAGGTTTGTTAGTGTCTCTTTGTATTCTTGTCCCTCATTCAGTTTTCTGCWTTGTTTTGTCTCCCTGCTACATGTCCTGGTGTTTTTGCTCCTTGTTTCAGTGATGGACACATGAAGCTTTTCTTTCATCAGTCTTCTCTGGCGACATCTTGTGGCCAAAAGTATGAAGAGCAACTTGAATCAAAATAAATGTTTCAKCATGAGGTTTAGAAATCATGTTGATGAAGATAAAACTGTAACTGACACCATGGTTGGTCAAACTTGTTTTTCTCTCAGAATAAAGAAATTATTTGTGCCRTTTGATGTTATTTATGAACTTTCAGCTGTTTTCTGTTGGAGAAACTTCATCCCTGTTTCACTGTGGAAAAAAGCTGTGGATGTTTCATCACAAAATAAGAGAGATCTCCTTTAAACTGTTACACAGAATTGATCCTATGGGGAAGAATGAATGAATGAATGAATGAATGAATGAATGAATGAATGAATGAATGAATGAATGAATGAATGAAATGTAAAATTTGCAAAAAGCATTTAGAAACACTTTGGAAGGAATATTTATCATTTGTAATATTGATAAGTTTTCGCTAAGATGTGAACATGTTTATGATTTAAACAGATTATATTTGGTAAATTTCACATAAGCCAGTCTCCTTTGTTCCATATTCTGTTTTATTCCCTGTTCTTTCTTTGTATTTGTAAAGCTCTTGTTCAGCACTGTTAATAATTATAAATGTTTCACAGCTGGAGTTGACAGCTGTTATTTCACATGATGAGACATTTCTTCTGGTATCAGGTTGACATCGTGCTGCTTTGAACACATATTTTTATTGGTGTGAATATAAAGTTGTGGTTGACTAAATAAATAATTTTGATGAATAAATTGTAAAATCTTGTCATGTCATGATGCTCCTGCGATACAGTATTTAAAAAGATGAATAAAAAAATCATTAACAATTCACATCATTGGAATGATGTTTGTGCTGCCAGTTCTCTGCCTCCTTTTGTGTACTCAACCAGCAGATGTACACTCACCGGCAACTTTATTAGGTACACCACGCTAGTAATGGGTTTGACCCCCTTTTGCCT